TAGGGTTCCGTCACCAATTGCAGTGCCGAGATTATAAAAGGAAACTAGCTTAAAAAAGTGAAGGGTTGCTTACTTATTTGGGGATGGTAATGTTCCGTTCCCCCGTTCGCCTCAGGCCTCAGTTAGTCTGTCTAAATATAAGCTTAAATGTGCTGTATATTCAATGGGGTAGAGGTAAAAGGCTGCTGGGCCTTTACAACTACTCTGAGGTATATATATGTAAATTACATATCTCGGCACAAATAAATAAAGAAATGACCACATCACTATAATATTAATCCCTTACAGATGCCTTCATTCTGATTTGGACCCCCTTTGTTTCCTTGTGCTTTTGCCCTCTCCATTATATATATCGGTGCTTGTACATACTCGTTTTAGGCCTTAGTCTAAAATCGACCTGAAATGCCCCCTAGAGACTTCCTGCTCGCTGCCTATGAAATTAAGGACCAAATGGACAAACAGCAATGGCACAGCGCTCCGCTTGAGTCGCTGAGGCCAAGGTCCCTCCTTGCTAAGTCTCTGGTTCCCCTCCAGAATCGTCTGCCCTCACCCAGTTCTAACAATAGGTGAATCCACTGACCCGAAACCCATCCTAACCAGCCCCCAACCCGATGTCTGGCCCCCTGCCTTATTGCATGAGACTTGGCCAACAATCAGAACCTAGACCCTGCCAGTTTTCCGACCTTACCTCCAGTTCCCAAGCCTTTGGGCTCCCAGCATCCAGTCCCTCTGGTTCCTCCTAGGCCTATAGCACAACTCAGTCTCACATCCCTGCCTCCGCATCCTCCGCATATTCTGCATCTTCCATATTCCGTGCATCTTCCACATCCGGACCTCTGCCCACCTCTGCACTGCACCCCTGCCACTCCTGGTTGACCTCCACACCCTGTAGTCAGGTCAACACTCCCCTCCATACCTGCTGACCATCATCCTGTCCTCATTTGTGACAGCACTGATGTCAGGGCACACCTGGGCCCACCTCACCCACTCCCCGCTATCCATCCATCCTCCCTCCTCCATCCTCCCTCTTCCCCCCCTTCTCTTTCCTCCCTTTTCCCTCTTTCCTCTTTCTCCTTTATTTCATTCTCCCTTTCTGTTTATTCTTTCTATTTACACGGACCACCTCCCCTTGTATCATTGTACTGTTGACCTGTCCGGCTCAGACACCCTGGACGACTTCCCACTATGCCTAGCACACATGCCTGCAGCAGATGCCCTTGGGATCCCCCGCGGGGACACCTGGATGGCAGCAGCTCTCTCCATGGATGACGTGGCACCTGTCATGTGACCCAAGCCGCATGTATATAAATGTACCTGAAGTAGAAACTGAAGAAGTAACCTTCTTCTCACGTTTTCCACTTCAGGTAAGTAGTGTAGTTCTTCCTTTTAATAACAATTCACGTTTTCCACTTCAGTCTAAGTGGTCAGGGACTACAGTCCCAGATCGGGCCTGTCAGCACGCATGCCCACTTCAGTCCCCAAGAGGGTCCCTCTGCCGGGCGCTACATCCGGGCCCCCTCCACCCCGGATGCGTCCCTGACAACTGACGGACCACCCTCTGTTGCGGACTTATCAGCACCATGCTGATTCCTGCATCCCATTTCGCGGACTTGTGTCAGTGCCATGTGCCGACCCCGCTTTTCCTTTGGCCTTTTGCCACTCGGCAGCATTCATTCATTCCTTGCCGAGTGCCTATTATGTTCACCCCAATATTGGCATTTGATCCGTGTGCTATTGCACTTTCCTATTCATTCATTTAATCTGTCAATATTGTTACTTGATCCGCTTTGACTTTATTCACTCCTTGCCTCCCATTTCCCGGGCTCTCGTCCTTGGTTTAGTTTGACAAGTCCCCACTCATTTCTGCTTATTTCCGAACCAGACTGACCGGTCCCTCTTTTGATGTCTCTTACCTACTTATACCTTGTAAATACTTTGGGGACCTCAGTCTGAAATCAACTAGAGTACCCCCCCCCTGTCTGGTCTGAGTCCCTCCTTCTGCAAAGGGGCTTCCCCCCTTCTGAGTCCGTGCTTGCGGAGTCCGTGCTCCTCCTACAGGTCCGCTCCGCTTGCAAGTCTTGTTTGAAGTCCGCTGTAAGTGTCAGTCCATAAATACAGGATCTCCCCCAAACATCAAGCTCAGGGCACAGCGCTCCACCTGAGTCGCTGAGGCTGTGATCCCACTCTGCTAACCTTGAACAGCACTTCTGGATGTGCCACACATTTCTGCCCGCATATCCGCACGTGTGCACTCCAACAGACCTCTGCCACAATCTCCGACCCCAACTCAGACAGAAACCCAATCCATCTTCAGTCCGTCTTCAGACAGTCTGCCTGACTCTGACAATATTCCCTGACTCTGACAGTATTCCAGACTCTGACACTCGGCACACTCGACCTTGGCCACTCCCATCCCGGAAGCTCGGCCCTGAGTCAGAACATTCGGAGACTCCGGATTTACTCCGACCTCCTGACAGATCTCCAACATCCTGTGACATACCTCTAAACCATTCCCCCTCCCATTTCATTTATTGGAGTCACCCAACATCCTTTGGATACGTAACTCCGGCTTCAGAGCTACCCACATCCTCTGGTGATCCTGCTCACATCATCATGAATTAGTCACCTCCCATTTGTAGCATGACTGTTGTCTTCTTTCCATTCAGTCGGCTAACTTCCTCTTACCCATTTCTCGTTCCCATTTATCCTCCGGCCTTCTACCCTGCCCTCCTTGACCCGACACCTCAGTTCCCTGTTAAGGATATCGTTCGGGACCCTTCGGTACCTTTTGGTATCATTCGGCACCTTTCAGTGTTTTCCATTATGACTCGGACTTTGACTAAAGTCCTTCTCCCTCCTCCATATATAAATATTTGTAGATTAGAACCCATTGTACCTCATTCTAGTCTTGCCTAAAAGTTACCCCCAGTCCCTCTATGAGTGAATCCTGACCCCCTCCTACAAGATACCTCAGACACATGAAATAAAAGGACTAACTGAGACGTAACAGAGGCACAGCGCTCCCTCTGAGTCGCTGAGGCTGCATCCTTCTTAGAGCCTCTTGTACCACCCAGCAGACTCAGGCTTCCTGGAGAAGCTTCGGTCCACTACCAGAGCTCTCGGAACCCCTCTAGTTGAGCCCTGCCTGCATTCGGACTCACACCCTCTTTTGGGGTTTTTGACAGGCCCCAAGATCAATGTGGGGGCCCCTTGGTAAAAACCACCTCTTTGGTGGGCTTAGCAATGCAAAATTGGTGCCCTGAAAAGACAGTGAATCAATAAAAAGTGAGTAGAAAATGAAGGAATACGGTGAGAGCAGCCAAACAACAGAACAAATGAGGAGGCAAAGGGACATCTCTATGCCCTAAGACCAAGCAAAGTCCCCCAGACCATCAAAACTCATGTCTGTAGTTTGGTGGTGAGTCAAGGTTGGAATACCAGTCCTGAAGGTCAGCGTATTTAAAAGCAGCAAGTCAAACATGCTGGATGAAGAGTGAGATAGTGGCAGTGGCTCCACTGGAAGCATGAAAGGTGGTACATCAGCCATCGGGTCCAGGGTCCCAGATGTCGATCCTGTCACAGTCGAAGGCAGAAAGTGAGAGGGAGACCCACTCAGTGTTGCCGGCAGGGAGCATGGACGTTGAACAGCCATAATGGATGTAGTAGGGCTCCTAGTGGATCAGATGATCTGTGGATATCTGCAACCACATCCGGAAATTCACAGATCTGGTTTTGGATTTTCAGAGGAAAATATCCGTGGATTTTCGGATTATCCACAGTTTTATCACATGATTTATTGCTTGCAGATATGCAGGAGATCTGAGGCAAATAAGGGTGAAATTCCCCATATTTACTGTAACTCCTACTCTACTGTGGCTTTTGAGAGGATAATATCTGCAGTTTCTAGTCTGCAGATTGTCCGTGGATTAAATATATCCCACTTTCCTAGATACCCCTCCTATGTTTCCATATTTTTTCCCAATTTTTTCAAGTCCTATCTAACCACCCAGGCCCGTTATTTCCAAATTTGGCATCTGACACCCATCTTTTGTGCCATTTTCCCCATATCTCTGTCAGTTCTCCACCAATATGGACATATTTGGTATTGTTAGAAAGCTCTCATCAGGGCCGTTCTAACGAAATATAATTTTGGAACGTATTAATCCGCGGTTGATCCGCATATCCGCGGATTTCTGTTAGAATGGGGCGGACTCGGACGACTCCGGAGTGGAATCGGAGACTTAGCGTGGAGGGACCTTGGCCTCAGCGACTCAAGCGGAGCGCTGTGCCATTGCTGTTTGTCCATTTGGTCCTTAATTTCACAGTAGGTGAGCAGGAAGTCTCTAGGGGGCATTTCAGGTCGATTTCGGACTGAAACCAAGACGAGTATGTACAAGCGCCAATATATATAATGGAAGGGGCAAAAGCACAAAGAGAACAAAGGGTGACCGAATCGGAACGAAGACGTCCGAATGGGAACAAAGGGTAGAGGGAGTGGAGCGGTACCGAAGGTCACAGGGCAAGACCTGTGATACGTCCGAAAGGAGGTAGGGAGGGCGAGGCCCAGAGGGGCAGGAGGATGAGGGGAAGTGGGGATGATGACTAACTGGCTAGAATAGAAAGAAGCAATAGTCCAAATAGGGATGAAGGGAAAATGCGAGAAATACATTACAGGCGGCGAGAGTGCCGAAGGCGGTCCGCGAAGCTCGGGGGTTGCAGAGCTTACAGAGGTTACGGAGGTGGGGTTGGAAGTCCGAGGAATATTGGCAATGGTGTTTACGTAGTATGAGGTCACCAATGCAATGGACTAAGGCCGAGGTGGAGTCAAAGTCCGAGGTAGGGACTATGATGGAGGCTCGGAGTAAGGTACGAGCGGCGTCCGAGTGCGAAGTACGGAACAGTGGTGGAAGGTCGTAACTTGGCGGAAGGGTGGCGGAGGAGTAACGGAGGGAGGAGAGAGGGGACAGGTAGGGGAGAAGGAGTGGCGGAAAGGAGAGTAGTCAGGTCCGAAGGTGAGTATCGGAGCGGATGGGGGAAGCGTAGGAGGATAACGGGAGGGTGGAGGTGTTGTGAAGGGGGAGCGGAGTAGTAGGAGGGTGGTGAGGGGTAAGGAGGAGGTGTGTTGCCAGGACCGAAGGTGAGTATCGGAACGGCAGCGGTAGATTATGACTCCGGAGGTGAAGAGGGTGGAGGTCCGGAAGTCGGGTCGGGGTCGGGTATGCATGGATATGACAATTTCTAACCACCGGATACAGTTTTTGTTTCAAACCTCTAAAAATCCGCGGATTCTGATCCGGATCCGGATCCGGACCAATCCGATCCGCTAGGAGCCCTAGGATGTAGTCAGGTGGATATCAGCCAAACTGGGTGCTTCATTCATTGAAAGAAGACCAGAGGCATCACATATGGTCAACAACACACAACCCTGATGACCCCCAGCCCCTTGATTGTCTTGAAGCAAGACAATGTCCTTGTAGTCCTTACTGTTTGGAATGCGAGCTCCGTCCTCAGCACTCCAATGACATCCACCAGCTTCAGGGAAGGGTTCATCCCATACTCTGCATACCTTTCAGCTGGAGCTTCTCCACCAACAACATCATAGAGGATGCACCACTGCTCATCACATAGTCACCACGCTTGCGAATGAGATCAAGGAAGATATTCAGGGGACAGTTATGGATAGCCACCTTCTGCTTGATGAGCATAAGTCGGAGGGTCTTCCAAGGAATCAAGTCAAGTGGTGGAGAAAAGCGCCCACTTGAATGTCCGACCAAATGCTTGGCAAGCAGTCATGAGTTGAAGTCTCCATTTTCCGCTTTTGCTTCCAAAGCTCTTGCTTCTCTCTCACAACTGCATCTCCTTGACCCCAATGGGTGAGAACATACGAATAGAAATCACTTTCCAGCTGCTTAGAACTGGGCAAGGGCAGATGATTCCGGAGGGGAACCGGAGACTTAGCATGGAAGGACCTTGGCCTCAGCGACTCAAGTAGAGTGCTGTGCCATTGCTGGTTGTCCTGGGGGTCCCTAATTTCAGATCTAGTAGAGGGGAAGTCTCTAGGGGGCATTTCAGGTCGATTTCAGACTGAAGGTCCAAAATGAGTATCTGTATATAATAGGGAGACAAAAGCACAAGGGAATCAAAGGGGGTCCAAATCGGAACAAAGGCATCTGAACAGGGACATGGAAGCGGATTGGCACTGAAGGTCATAGGGTAAAACCTGTGGTACATCCAAAAGGAGATAGGGAGGGCAAAGCCCAAAGGGGCAGGAGAATGAGGAGAAGTGGGGATGAGGACTAACTGGCTAGAATGGAGAGAAGCAGCAGTCCAAATAAGGATGAGGGGAAAATGTGAAGGATACATTACAAGCGGCGAAAGTGCCGAGTATGATCTGTGGAGCTCAGAGGTTGCAGAGCTTACAGGGTTATGGAGGTGGGGTTGAAAGTCTGAGGAATGTTGGAAATGGTGTTTACGTAGTATGAGGTCACCAATGCAATGGACTTAAGCTGAGGTGGAGTCAAAGTCCAAGGTTGGGACCATGACAGAGTCTCAGAGCAAAGGCATGGGTGGTGTCCAAGTACAAAGTATGGGACAGTGGTGGAAGGTCATAACTTGGCAGAGGTTTGTTGGAAGAGTGTCAGAGGGAGGAGAGTGATGAGAAGAGTGGGGGGAGGAGTGGAGGTGGAATGGTGTCAGGTCCGGAGGTGAGTATTGGAGCAGAAGGAGGTAGGGTAGGAGAGGGATGGAAGGGTGGAGGTGACGTGAAGAGTGAGGAGTAAGAGGGGGAGAGTGGTGAGAGGGGTGATGTTTGGTCTGAAGGTGAATATCAGAGCGAACGGGGATAGGGTAGGACTCCGGAGGTGGTGAAGTGGAGGGTCTGGGAGTCAGTTTGGGTTCGGGTTTGTACAGATATGACAGTATCCCCTTCTTAGGCCTGAACCCATGAAGGCCTTTGAATAGGTCTCTGGATATACCTGCTACATTACCGATGAAGGAGGTGATGGAACATGAGGAGGAAGAGAGGAGGACTTCACGAAGAACTAGACAGAATTGGGGAGACTTGGAGGAGCGGAGTCGGGTCCAGAAATGGCAAGGACTCAATCAGGAATAGGAATGGGGTATGACAGGAAGGGTTGGGTCGCACAGATATAGGAGGTCATCTGGCGAGTAAGAGCTGAAAGGTGAGGGAAGAGGTCAAGTGTTAGATCGTGTGGATTCAGATGACTCCGGAGTGGAATCGGAGACTTAGCATGGAAGGACCTTGGCCTCAGCAACCCATGCGGAGCACTGTGCCATTGCTGGTTGTCCTAGGGGTCCCTAATTTTGGATCTAGCAGAGGGAAAGTCTCTTGGGGGGAAATCAAGTTGATTTCGGACTGAGGTTACAAGTTACTAAGTACATTGTATATAAGGAGGGGTCCGGAATCAAAAGGAACAAGGGTAGGATGAAAGGAGACAAAGGGAGCTGGAAAGAGGAACAACACCAAGGGTCAAGGGTTTGACTCAATGGTGTTTCCCAAAGGAGGAGTGAAGGGCCAAGGCCCAAGGAGGAAGGAGGGAGGAAGGGAGTGGGGAATGGCTAGCTGACTGAATAGAAAGGAAGCAGCAGCCCAAATAGGAATGAGGGAGAATAGCGGAATTGAATAGGACAATGCAATAGTTGCAAGGTCCGAGGTAAGTGCGGAAAGTCCGAACTCAGAAGTTAAACTCCGGAATATTGGCAAACATAATTAAATGGAATGAGCTAACCAATACAATGGGTATAAGCGGAGGTGGGGTCAAAGTCCGAGGTCGGAGCTAAGACCGGAGGTTCCGGAGACAGAGATGCGAACGGGATTCCGGAGCGGAGGTCCGGAGTTGGGAGCATAGGTTTTGCATACTCGTCTGGAAGGTGTCGAGGTTGGGGTCGGACCCGGAATGTTCCGGAGTCGGACCAAAGGTGGTGTCCGAGCCGGAGGTGGGATAACCTCTTGGGAGTCGGCAAGGAGAAGGTGACGGAAGGGAAGTAGGGCTCCGGAAGTCGGAGTTCGGAGTTCCGGGAGCCCAGAGCGGAGGTTGGGATTGTATGGATATGACAGGAAGCAGCAGCCCAAATAGGAATGCGGAATTGAATGGAGCAATGCAATAGTTGCAAGGTCCGACATAAGTCCGGAAAGTCCGAACTCGGAAGTTAAACTCCGGAATATTGGCAAAGGCAATTAAATGGAATGAGCTAACCAATACAATGGGTATAAGCAGAGGTGGGGTCAAAGTCCGAGGTTGGAGCTAAGACCGGAGGTTCCGGAGACAGAGACGTGAACGGGATTCCAGAGCAGAGGTCTGGAGTTGGGAGCATAGGTGTTGCGTGCTCGTCTGGAAAGTGTTGAGGTTGAGGTCGGACCCGGAATGTTCCGGAGTCGGACCGAAGGTGGTGTCAGAGCCGGAGGTGGGATAACCTCTTGGGAGTCGGCAAGGAGAAGGTGACGGAAGGGAAGTGGGGCTCCGGAGTCAGTTTCGGAGTTCTGGGAGCCCAGAGTGGAGGTCGGGATTGTATGGATATGACATCAAGTAGACATGGTCTTCAAGGGGGGAGTTTCAGTCTTAACTTCCATGAAATTCCTAAGAGTCGAAGTCCGGGTGTTATGGAAATGGGAATTTCCCATTTCTAGCCTCTTATGGGCCCTGTGCCAGAAAATCGCAAGATCAATCAAAAGCACGAGGCTTGACATTTAAAATGCCAAAATTTGATGTTTAAACGTGAATTTCGGCATCTAAACATTGTGATAAATTGTTTATGGCGTTTTTTGATATTATTGAATGCGTTTTTATACCCCTCAAACGCTCTGAATATGTTTTTAATAACTTAATAAATGTGTCATAAATGCTTCCTACAGCATCAAAATCGTCAAAAATCTGTCTCATATAACACATAATGTACCACCACATCTGACCAATGTATTCTCATCAGCTGTTGGGTAGTTGTTGTAAATAAACGCCATGAAACGTTTCCCAGGTGTTTAAACGATATACGGGATTTTCCAACATGTGTACTGTAATATCACGTGACATGTAAATAATAACAACTTAACAAACAACTATCACCAAAAACACCCAATGTCAATGTCCCTGTAAACCTCATGGTTACAACCTCTGCCATATTAACTGTAACACCATTTCAATGTCATGGCCCTCTCCTGTTGAAGTTATCCTTTTCTTCCTATTCAATCTCACTCCATATAAGTCACATGACTACTGAGTCGGACTTTACTGTTTCTACTACTTGTATAAACACTAAAGTCATCCTCAGAGGTGCCATAACCTGAGTTACAACATCTCCTGCACCTGAACGCTATAGAAATGGGCCAATTAGGCCCCATTTTTATAACACCAGGGGTCATGGTGGAGAATCCGGGGCAAGGTCTGTTCCAAGACCAGGCTTTGGTGGGTTGGGGGATCCTTGAGGGATGGAGGGCTCCAAGGGGGTGACACAAAGGGGCTGGATGGGCAGCTCGCTAGGTGTGTGGGAGGGACCGAAGGTCCATGTGATGATACAACAGAGGGCCGAGGCTGGCTCTGAAGTATCCGAAGGAACGGAGTGAAGGAGTTCCCATTTGTGACAACAATCTCAAAGGTGAGGTTGTGCTGCGCATGGTACAACTCAGTCACAGGAGGAATGATGAGATGAGACGAGTCCGTGGTGTTCTGAAGAACTTGTGGGTCTGGAGCTCGCTCAGAAGGAGCAGGGGTCCAAATGGTGAGGCTTATGGCGAAGAGTGGAGGTGCTAATGGAGCAACTCATATGAACACTCAGCATGTTTGTCTTCCCGGGATGGGTACTGGAGTAGACAGAGGACAGGTACCTAAGGAGGCCATAACCAGAGGACAGGGGAAGGTTGGAGAACAAACTCGGGATCCCTTTTGGAGTTGACATGGGGAGGAACTCAAGGTTTGACAACACAAGAGTGGAGTTCCAAAGGCATAAGGGGATCGGAGTTGTTTGGGTGCAAGCCAAAGGCTTGGGAAGGAGTACCATGGACTGGAAAGAGAGGTCCGAAGTTCCAGAGCAGACAATCGGGGTACCGTCCAGGTAAGGTTTGTTGAAGGAAGGGAGTGTATCATAGATACAGGGTCGAGGGGTAGTCGATGTCAGGGAGGAGAGTTCGGTTGCCCACCTGAATGGGTTGCATTGATGGAATCTCCATTGTCAGAGGTGATGAGGGTGTGCAAGGCACAGGGTGACGAAGGTGGAGGTAGGGTATGACGTTGAGTGTGTTTTTGGCATCGGAGACGGAACTAACTCGAGGGTCTTTAAGCAGCTAGGATTGTCTGTGGGGATGATGCAAAAATACTTCTGGTGGAGACCGGTGTATAGCACTGAGGTAGATAGAAGCGGAGTCCATATCCCCTTCTTAGGATTAGATGTCCCAGCATCTGATTGACACAACAGGCTAGAGTCGGATCTGAAGAAATTTGTATCCGGTGCGACTACTGGACTTATCTGGAGCTCCAAATTCTTATGACGTTGAAAGAGGGCTCGCAGCTCTCTATGCCGACACAGCTCATGGGGGACTACTCTCCAAACTCTCTACTTTCTCTCTAAACTTCGCTATGCTCTCGATCCTTAACTCTGTGTGGGTTCTCCAGGATTTCCGCAAGGTCCGGGCTCAACAAATCCACTACCCACTCGTTGCAGGCTAGCTTGTTGCCCTTATTCCTACTGTTGGAATTCCACTCACTCACACCCACTCTAGCGCATCCTAGCACCTTAGAGGATTTGGGGGAGGGGAGAACTTCCTTTCAAAAATCCGGTATGTACAGGATTATAAGAAATAATTATTTTTAGAAATAATAGATGAGAAATATTGGTGCCATATGGCACCTGGGTACCTTATTAGGCGAAATAATAGAAAAGGGTAACAGTATCAATACAAGAATATTGATCAATAACTGAAATGATGGCAAAATATGAAAATAAAAGAAAATAAGCGATATCTCAACGGATTTACGGAATTAAAAGCCAAAATTGGAAATAAAGCCGTAGATAGCTCTCATGCAGCTGATAAGCATTTTTACCAATTTATTAGACGCC